AGGCTGTTGTTCCTTGGGATTCATCTCATCAGATGGCATGGATGACTCCATTGGCATTTCAGATACTTCTTCTTTCTCTTCCTCTTCGTTGGCTTCAACTTTTTCGTCTTTTACTGCCTCCTCCATTTCATCTTCAGCTTTTGCGCTATCTTTTTCATTTACTTCCTCTTCTTCATTATGGCCAAAGACAGTTGCAGCGAAAAGTCCGATTGTCAGTAACAAAAATAAATATTTCGACATTTTTTCATCTACAATAATTATTTAATTATTTATTCAAGTGTTCTTAATTAAAAACAGTTAATAATTTATTTTTTAAAATAATTATAAATAAAATTAAAAAATAATTTTTTGTATTGAAATTAAATAAATAATTATTTACTTACATAGAATTAAAAATTTTTCTACAAAGTAAGTAAAGTTTTCTTTTAAGTCTACTTTATTGAATGTTAATTGTTGTAATGAAATAATGGCTAGCGTTAAATTAACAAGACTTTGTTTCGATGTTCGCTATCACCGACCTGGATAATTATTATAATTGCGACGCATCAAACTTTATCGCGACAATTATTAAGCAAGGACATTTTTAAATTGACGTGGATATTTTTTATCAAAATTATTTATTGGTTATGAAAAAATAACGAATTTTAATATTGTTTCATTTTTTTAATAAACTTTTTAAAATTATACATCTTTATATAATGAAATAAAATTTATTAAATTTTTTAATTCAAAAAAATTTTTTATCTTTAAATCAATTATTTAAAGGTAAATCAGCAAAAATTAAATTTAAGATAAGCCCTACGGATAAACTCTTGTCAATATTATTCCCGAGTGTGTACAGAAGATCAGGATGTTGGTAAACCAAGAGGATGATACCATGGAGCCAAGTGGATTAGAATTTTCTCAATTCCTGTTACTAAATCCGCTTTAAGCTCTCTGTATATTTACGACATGAGATACATCATTTATTATTTTTTCTTTTATACACCAATTTTTTTATTAGCTTATAAAACCGAAATCAAGAGGCTTTTATACGGATTCTCATACAGATTATACTCCCAATCCTGTAAACATAAAATCCGGGATAGAGCTCTGGAGAACTGTTGCAACAATAACCTAATCTTTTTAAAGTCCTCAAGCAAACCACCACGAAATTACGTCTACCCTGAGGAATCTCGTTTGCGTGGGATCTCCTCTTTTATCTCTCCAACTATTTTTAATCTCTACAATGACACTGCAGCCTTCTATGTATTCTTAATTAATTACTTTTTTGTTATTTGTCAGCTATGATTTATTATATTTTACAACTTGCAAAAATTATTTATGTTTTTTATAATAATTAATAATTAAAAGAATTTAATTAATAATTTTTTATTAAAAAATTTAAATAATTTTGCTGTATTAAATAACTAGATGTTACGCGCCCGCTTCGCGGGCGCGTTTAAGAATTGCATTTTTAGATCTAAAATTGAAATTTAATTGGAGTATTGTTTTGATTTGCACAGATTCCAAATGACCATTGAAAGTTTTAGTTAAAGTCATTGCAAGTCTCATAAGTCAAGTTTAAATCTGTCTAGCTTAAAGTGCCAAAAATTTTTCTGTTATTTAAAATTTTCTCAGTGACATCAATTTTTTATAGAAACTAAATTTAACATGTTTTTTACGAATTCTATTTAAATAAGTAGCCAAATTTATTTTTCACATATCTAGTGTTTGGAAAATCCATTCATTTTAATCTGTTACATTCCCGAGATCCCGCAATAACAACAATTTATAAGTTATGTAATCAGCAAAAATAACATGTATGTAAAATTGTTAGTCCGTTGACTGAATTACTACATGTAATGTTAAGTTTTGGAAACCTTACAATGACTTTTTTCCCGCTGCTAAAGAGACGTTTGTTGTAAGGAAATTTTCAGTAAATTTTATTGAAACTCAATAGACATGGCCTAAATTTCATCTTTCAAAAAGTCCTAGTTTATAAACAACAACATTTTTAGTAGATTTCATAGAAATCTAACTATTTTATTTGATGGA